TTTGTGCTACCAGTCTAAGAAATGGGACACACCCCTAAGTCTTTCAAGAGTAAAAAACCACTGTTCTCCATTTGTTGCAGTCTATGACAACAGCAGAAAAATCATGCTTCTCAGCTACCCAGGCTGGTTGTCCTTTCTTGGAGATTGCTCAGAGGATCTAAATTTTTAGTAAATTACACAGTTTCCCTGGTAGTCCTGGAAAGTAGAGGAAAATCCATCAGGATACTCTAGAAAGGAGCTGCAGTGAAGTTGCTATGAAAGGCCAGCAATTCTAGCACAGCTGCTGTAGGTCAACAGGACACAAGAGATTTTGAAGCAGCAGCTTTACTTAGCTCCATCAATCACCACCTCAGTCATCCTCCACCACAAATATAGCTTAAGAATTTTTGATTACATCATCAAGTCTGTTTTCCAGTTTGAAGGGAGTTCCAGCCATACAGAGGTGGCCAACTTGTAAGAAAAACCAAAATTAATAATAATAATAAAAAAGTCACACCACCTTCTCAAACCCCCTGTTCCAATCTCTTTGCAGATCTGCTTTTCCTCTCTCCAGCTTCATATTTTTCTTTGTTTTCTGACCACTAAATATGTGAAACAGTAGTTAGGACACATTCTGGCTGGCTGACAACTTTATAAATGCTGTAAGATTGTTGTTAGGTGATGACCACCATGTAAGCTTGAACAGACTCATTAGGGGGGAAAAAATAACTAGTTGAACATTTTTCAAAGCCAAGAAAATAATGCTAGGGCCACAATCAAGTACCTGGCTTACATGATTTGCTGCTACTGCCCCAAGAAGCAGAGATGCAAAAAGAATTACCTTTTGCATCTTCTGTGATCTGTCTCCCTTCCCTTTTATACATGTGTTGGGTTAATTTCATGCAAATATTTCACTGTCACATGTAGGACTTGCATAAAAAAAACCCAAACACACAAGATAATTTATATTCAAATTGGAATGGGGAAGAAAAACAGAAGAAAAAGATTCCCAAAATAAATACATGGATTGTTTAGACTAGAACATGTGCTTGCTTTCCTTTTGTTTCAGCATCGTTTGTGATTGTTTAACACATTCTCAGATCTGATTACCACCCAGGCACACTCTAACACAAAGATGGAAATTAAACAAGAAAAAAAAAAAAAGGCATCTAGGAATTGTAACAGTCTGAAAATGTTCAGATATTGTATTGTAGGCGATAAAAAACATGCACAGCTTAATCCTAGAAGTCAACGATCTTTCTTGGGTGCCATGCCAGCTGAGAACACAGTCATGCTGACCGACACTGGCTCTCACAGAGGGCGAGTGTGAAGGCAGGAGATGCTGCCTCCCACAGATACCCACCTCCAGATGTCCTGGTTCCAGCTCCCACCCCTGCTGCATGCCAAGGTTTGTGAGCTCACTGCCTGTTGTGCAAACACAGTGGGTTGCCAGTTCCTGTCTTGCACCTGATGGTATGCAAGACTGGGACAAGGGGGTGACCTCTTCAAGGAATGAAATCAAAATGTACCCTCTTCCTTTCATACACCTCACCAATCATTTGTAAATAATAATAAAAGGAAAATTTTCTAGGTGTTAAACCCAAATCCAAATAATTCATAAAGATTAGAGAATAGTTCATTGGCACACAGATGGGAAATTCCTGGGCACCTTTCTTCCACTATAAAGCAAATAGACAAAACAGAAATTTACACTAGCAGAATTCCTGCTAAATCACTTCTGCTTCTAATAATTGCAAGTTTCATTTTTCTATACAAATATCAACAAACCCAAGAGTTTAGTAACACAGTAGCATATAATGCAGAGTTACCATTAACTCTATACAAGGACCAGAAACTATTCATTTCACATTTATATACAGTTTATATTTAATTCAACTTCTATTTTTTATCAGAGATAACATAGTGCCAGTTCCAAGACTGAAGGATGTTCTGAAAAGCTTGTTAGCAAACAGACTGCCCCAGATTCTCCCTCCAATATTTTCAAACAGACTTCTTGGTCAATATGCCAGCTGCCCTACCCGACTTTCAGCCCCACTCCCATATTCCCATGTCCAATGTTACAGATTACCCATACACACAGTACATTTGTCAACATGAGAAAATGTGTCAGCAGAATAATTTTATCTGCTAAACTTGTTTGCCAAGGTCTGCTGCATCCTAGACTGCTTCTCATCATCTTAAAAACAGCAGAACAGCACAGCCTCAGAGTCCTCCGTAAAACATCACAAACATCTCACCACTTACATACACAGTCAACAAGATGTAAGACCAATAAACAAATATTAAGTGTGAACAAGTGCTAGTACAACACAAATCCATTAATGCAGAAGAAAACACAAAACTAACTACACAGTCAACCACCCAGATTTTTTTTGCAAGATGTCTGATGGCAGGGGGATTGGAACTAGATGATCTCCAGAATTTTTTTGCAAGATGTCGAGTGCCCAAACACTGCACTGCACCTCTCCTGACTGGCTGCAGGCCATGGAGGGTTTGCAGGACACCTGCCCTTCGGCTTCACATCCCTGTCCCCAAACAACCCCACTGCTTCCTTGCCTTCTCTGATTCGACAGAGACAGGCAGCTACAGAGAAAATCTATATATCTGTTCTTTTGTTTTACCTCTAGCCTTCAAAGAATCCTATCAATTCTGATCAAGACACTGAGAAGCACCTTACAATAAGGACAGCTAATAGAATTTCAAAGTCTGCTACAGAATTTAGGGAGTGAAATTCTCATATTTTTGCTTTTTTTGGATGCCACTCCCTCTTTGCAATGGTTCATTGGTTTAAAATAATAAAATATTCACTGCTAATATGTTTGAATCAAAACATCCTGTGTCTGAATGCTGCCATACCTCCATACATGTTGCAAGTAAAATTATTTCCTACATAGGAGAAATGGCAACACAGATTTATCTCCAGTTGACCACTGGATAGAAATTAGGTATTCTGCAGATAGTTAACTTAAGAGGAAAAAAGTACTTTTGCTGAACTATAAGCTAGCATGGATATTTTAACAAAAAAAAACCCAAAACAACAACAACTTATTTTTGCAAGAAGCTGCAGGGACTGAAAAACATTATGTGTATTGGAAGCTTCTGTTGTTAAGGACTAAGCAGAACAGCAATCATGACTATCACATTCTTGGAGCTACCATTTAGTGACACCTCTATAAAAGGAAGAAAATGCATGTGGGAGGAGTGACATCTTAAGTAATGGTTTGTATATCCCACATTCTGGGCCTTCCAAAGGGCACTGCACAATCAACGTTCACACCACCTTGATACAGTCAAGTATTCTGATTGCAGTGCAACCATTTGTTCTGCTTGGGAAAAAAAAAAAAAGGCAGGAAGATAAGAGTCATTCCTTGCACATTTACAATTACATTTCTCCAGTACTGATACAGACCACCTAGTTCAGGCACAAATATTACACTGGCAGCCTCAACCAGATATTCTAGAGATTTCTTTTTGCTTTAGCTACTTTATTAAACATCAAACAGGCCAAGAAATGAACCCTGTCACATTTCTATAGTTCCTGATTGTTGCAAAGACATGAACACAAACTGGCCTTTCAGTCTACTTTGACAGCAGCTTCTTTCCACCAAGCTCAACACCGTACTCATTCCTGGGGGTAGAGAAGTTGACACAGGAACTCTAGAGCACTGTGGTAAAAGACCTCCCACTCATCTTCTGTATGTTTCTGAGCCTCTCAAAACTAACAACAGCTTCATGCGTTCAAACTCTTCACTGTAATGAGGAGGCAACTAAAATTTCTTTCAGCTTCAAAAAGATTACTGGTCCTCTTAGTTCTCACCAAGTAAGAACAGTGTCTCTGGAGTGAGTGTTAATGTTTGCAAATGCAGATGGGATGTACAAATAAATTGCTTAGTATCTGGAAGCTGATTTTCCTGCCTGGTAACAAAAAATCCCAGTACAAACCCTAAATGCACTAAGAAATGATCTACCTTAAAATCATCCATATAGAAGTAAAATTATCAGCTGTATTTCACTGCCCAAGATAAACAGTATTTGCACGTATTGCAAATACTTCAAAAGCAATTTCAGCTCTAGCAAATTTTCTAACAGTATTAAAAATACAAAGACCAACATTGCAAAAGTTTATCACAGTCAGAAAAAAAGTCTTCATCTAGATTCATCCCACCTCATTCCTGTAAGTCTGAATGGGATTTTGAAGACAAATAGAGACACTGCTGACTGGGAACCTACTGAAACATCATTCCCTTTTGAAAAAGTGAACAGCTTCCTACAAAAGGTCCTTATATTCCAGAGCCAGGTTAAATAACAGGAATGTGCAAGAAGTATCCCTTTTTAGTCTCCTCTCTTCCACAGATTTCTTTATAAAGTGTCTGGGAAGTAATGTAGTGTTTCCTTCCCGCTCTCTGGTTCCTGACACAGTTTGAACAAGAGAGGTTTCTGATAACCACTTCAACTAATTAAGAAGAGTGAACAACCTCTTCACTGGACCTAAACCACAAGTCATACAGGGCTTACACTGTAACAAGGAAGATTGTGGCTACACATCTAATGGGCAGAATTGCAAAGCACTGGAACAAACAGTGGGATTTCCTGCACTGGCTAATAGAGGCAGCTTAAACACACAGCTACTGAAATTAGTACAGCTGTAAACAAGCAGATGAGCTCTTGAAGTCTGTGACTTTCTTCCTAAAAGGATTCTAAACACAGTTTTTTAATCTCCTCAGGTATAAATGGAGCAAACTGCTCTACACTGCATTGATTAACAAAATGCCAAGCCAAGAGAAATTAAAGGTACAAGATCCATCTCTTGTTGCCAGAAGGATTCTGAAAGAAGAACCATTATACAGGTAAGTCTTCCCCTACCCAGGAGGAGAGTAAAGGACACAAGTCAGGTTTCAGGCTCAAGGCTTTAAAACACAACACAGCCTGTATTAAAAATTCAAACAAAAATCGCATGACAGCAAACTCGCTATGCAAAGAGGAATTCCTAGGAAGCTTACCTCAGTGGACCATAATTCAGCATTATGAAAGCCAGTATCACCATCACACACAGGGTCCTTCTCTTTGGAGATGATACTTTTAACTTTTGGTTCTAGACGGGAAAAAACACAGAAGACATGCAATATAAAAGGGGCACAGACATTCAAAGGTATGCCAGGACCTAAACAAACCAAATTATGCTTGCTTTTTAGATTTATACTTGCCTAATTATGTACCAATACACCCCAGGACCACTTAAAATAAAACACTCTTGTTTGTACATTATATGCAGCCTATCCAGCCTATCTTCTCAGGGAAATCTTCAGAAGCACCATAAAAAAGGAATTAAAAGTCAACTAAATAACGCAACAGTTGTCCTGACCTAGAGTTGGCAAAAGTCCTGCTTGGAGTGGGAGGCTGGGTTAGAAACCCCCAAAGGTCTTCCAGGCAACAGTTCCATGATTCTGTTCAAATGCCTTCCACCTGAGCAACTGTCTTTATATCAAGTCAGATCTTCACCACAATCTCTTACCTCTAATACCACTTCATCCAGCTGCCTCTTCAGTGTGCTGTTTTCTTTCTTGAGTTTCTCATTCTCCAATAAGGCTGCCTCCAGCCTCGCCTCCAGTCCCAACATGTATTCTTTCTTTTTCTTCCGTGACTGAAAGGCTGACTCCCGGTTTTTGATCATGCGCTGCTGCCTTCTCAACACATTGACCTGGACAGAAAATACGGAGGTCTGTTAATGATCCACAAGGTAAAATTGCCTCTATTTCATGCATAAGTTCTGCTCCTTTACTTTGTCAGAAGTATGCATAGATAGCTTCCTGCACCCTGCTTTCAATGAGCTGAAATGTTGAGCACAGAGGCAGCTAGGAATCACGGTACACCTCCAAGAGTTATAGCTCACGGGCAGTAACAAAACCCGTCCTGCGCTGTCTCTGTTTCCTCCTGCATTCTTAACCTTCTTCTATGCGTAGGGGATAAAACAATGTATACCTGAGCAGCAGTTATTTGATCAAACAAATCACAAAGACAGAAAATACATATCTACAGGTCTGCAAGGTAGCAAGAATGTCTTTCACCTTCACTTTACCATATACCCTCTTATGGGCTACAATCAGTCACCTGTTTTCCTAACTGTAAAGCTCTACAGTTTTTTAGTCTGTCATGTATGGAAGTCATTTCTACACTGATCACACCTGTTTCTGTACCTTTTCCAGCTCTGCTATATAGTTTTTGGGATTTTGAATACTGTTGCTGACCTCAGATTGCACATTTTATGTGTATCAAGCACTTATATGGCAATTTAAATGCAGTCTCTGGGTCTTAGAGACCAAAAGAACCAAAAGTTAAAAGTATCATCTCCACCTCTGCATCTATACTAGCATTTTAATTCAGATGAGGAGTGTGGCTTTGATGCACACTTCCTGATTCTCCCACTTAATATGTTTTGGTTCACATCACAGTCTCTGATAGAGCACACAAACTGGATTCCTTCCAGATGAAGCTAAACCAGCAAATATACTCCAGGAGAGCACATAATTCACTCCAACTTCTAGCAGGCACTCAGTCTGCAAGACCAGACTGGGAAAGTTCAATGTATACCCTCCCCATCTTCCAACAGTCTTGAGGACTCTGATTTTTTTTTCCCCAAGCAGGATCAGTCTATCATCATTCACCACTTACTCATTTTGTGGTCTGCACTGAGTGGGACGACCTCGACTGAAAGCATCTTGCTGCTGACAAGGATAACAACGATCAATACTGCAGAGCTATACAAAACTACTGGAAATTCTAAGTTTAAACACTACTCTGTTGATTTCCTTTACTTCACAGATTAGCAACAGCAACTCTGTTTTTATTAAAAACAGAAGACTCCCATCACATTATTAAGCTACAACAGGATGTGCCTTAATGATGTTTACACTGAAGGAGAACTGAATGCTGTATCTTACACAGACCTGAATATCCTCCAGTAGCTACCAACACATGCACTGGAGTAGCCTGTATCTATTAGAGCATGAAAGCTAAAGAAAAAAGATGAGAGCTATTACAGAAGTATCAGTCTAGGGAAAAAATAAACAAGTCTCAGAATAGTAACATTAACAAACTCAGATGGTGTGCTCCAGTTAAGGTCTGGCTGCTTAAAGAACCTTAACCGTGGCTTTCCAACTCTCTCCCTGTATATACCCGCACACAGACAGTATGTTACTCTAGGGCTTTGGTGTCTGCAAGAAAAATTGGCTCCAGGCTGTTTGAAGAAGTCATTCTTCTTCATGATACTGCAGTCTGGTGACAAAGACAAAGAAAACACGTTACAGTGCATTAACATTTTGGGCTCCTTCCATGTTGATCTAATTGCTTTCTGTAAAGATAATTTATTATATGTCTAGTCTGCTGCCACCAACAAAAGACTGAAAGTGAAGCTGTTTGTACTCACTCCAGTTTCTCTCTTTAGCAGAGAGTGGAAAAGGAAAAGATTTTAACATATATTCATTAACACTAAGTTTTGTCTTGAATTTTTAAAGTACTACAATACTTAATGTAAGAAAACTTCTGCAGACATATAAAAACTTTGGAAAAAAAAAGATTGAGGCTAGCCAAGGACTGCAGTGTGTAGAGCACACCAGTCCGGGGCCAGGATCACTTCAACTGTCCAGGGATGAAATAATAAGGAATGAGTTCATGCAGCAGCTTTGGCTTGAGATGTGTGATATTCCATACAAGTAGTTAGACTCCTCTTTTCAAAAAGAGGTTTTGCATCATGAAGTCAAGCAGAGAAGACCAAATTGTTTATATCCAGTCTTGTTTGCAGACCTGCTCAGGATTGTTCACTACTGGATAGCTTTTGACTAAATGTCTGGAACCTGTGGCAAATCTACCTGCTTCCTTCCCTGGAGAAAACATGGAGTTAAAGCACCAGTGCAGTGTTTGTACACTAAGAGTACATCCTAAGGTACATCTATTGCTGTTTCAGACACTACCATCTACACTTCAGACGGTATTTACCTAAGCTGCCCTCCTTTACACCGTGCTCTCCAAATGCTGTCAGGAACAGCAGCTCTTCCCAGACTGATTCAAGGTACTCTGTGCAATAACTGCATTTCAGTCTATGCCACACCAGTTTCACTTCCACTCACTTCTTAAGTTTGCTTAAATGAAACCCCCCTATTCGCGTCCTTGAGTTATTTTGTTTTAATCGACAAACCCTGAAACATTTTAAGGTCCTTGGTCAACCCTCTAACACCTGCCTGGCTTTTCTTGAAGAATAAGCCACAACTGCACACCTGATCCTTCCCAAATCTGATGTAGGAAACTGAAAGAGTTGTGCATGTGAAATAGTGCCACAGTGCTTAAACCTGGAAGCAGTATGGCACTAAGCATTATATATATAGCTGGCTTGGCATCAAGATAAACATGGCCCTTGCTTGAACATTTTGATAATTAGAAGAGAAGAACTAATTTATAATGTCAGACTGCTTAAGCAACATTGCTTTGCCCAAGTACTGGACAAAGATTAAATGTAGCAAACACCTCTGCTAACTTCTTTTGCAGCCTCCCTCTTTGTAGGTTGTATTGTATTAATTCACCACCCAAGACAGTAACTTCTGGTTCTCAGGAAAAACAGACCATACTGGGAAAACACTGGCATTGAAATAAAATATGAGTGATGCAACTTTTGCTTCCTAGTTTTAAAAACTGCACGACCACTAACACACCCACAAAAAAGAAGTTGTAAATATGGAGAAGTGAAAGGTTCATTGCAAAAACTTGCTTCAAACAGTACTAACTAGATTCTGACTGTCCTCTCTCTTCAGAGTCTTTAGGAAGAGTCATGCACTTCACAAATAAAAACTGCCACCTCAATTTAGTCTTCCAAAGAAAACTCAGTTCTGAGCAAAATTCAACCTCCATTCAAATGCAGGCTGTATTTCCAGCACAAGGCAGTAAGAACACCTCTCACTCTGCAGAGTTTTTGGTACACACACTGGGAAAGTTAACAAAGAGCTGAAAGCACAAACCATTGCAACTTTACATGGGCTGGCTTACCTCAGCTTATGAAAGCTGCTGTCTTTGAGGATGCATCTTAAATATGGGAATACAAAGCCTATGCGAGTGTTTTCTCTGTTCTTATGAAAGATTTGGGTTTTCTTGTCTAACTCAACAGAACACAACTTGGCTAATGAATATATTTTATATGAAAATTACTCAACGTACAGCACAGAAAACAGGATTCTTTAATAGAAATCCACACTTATGTCAAAGTAAATTTTTACAATTTAATTTTTTCCAAATTTTCGGGGTTTTTTTATCAACAGAAGAGGGAAGCAGAATTAAATCATTTCTCACTACTGAGTGGAAACATGAGAGAAAAGCCCTGTGAGGACACAACTAAACTGGATTCCCTCAAACACCTACTGGTTGTGTTCTCATTATCTGACTGCACCAGGAAAGGCAATCTGCTTTTTTTAGTTAAGCACCTTTTTCTCTCAACCAGAAGAGCGGCTTACTTAGGCAGAGTTTCTTTTGTCCAGTTTCCTCGTGGATAAGTTCTTCACTGGTTTCCTGGTGAAGAGTGACCTCACTGAAAGCCTGGCACTTCCCCACGGCTGGCAAGCTGTGCAAACGTGTGCCATCAGGACAACCATAAGGTAGGGCCTCACATGTAGAGCTTGAGATCAGCCCATCTCAGTGCAATCCACTGGAAGGGCTGCGTGTTAAGCTAACAGTTTATCCCTCCTAAGCCCAAAAGAAAGTCCTGCAGTGTTTCTTTTTATCCTGCAACATCTGCTTAGATTAGCAAACAAAAACACGTGTTACAGAGCTCAAATGACAGCTACATCTGTGCAGCTCTGAGCACCACAGATGGTGTCTACAGCAGTTGCAGGATGTTTTAACCCCGCTGGTGCCAGCTGCATCCCAAAACATTTGTTCTTCTTCAACGTGCTATTTCACAGTATGTGACAAGGAGCAGTTGCAACTTTTTTTTCATGTTTCAATAGATACAGGTAAGATGTGTAGCATTTAGGCTGATAAGAAGTCTTAAAACCACCTGCCCAAAGCTTCAGGTGGAAAAATCCACACAACCATTGTTCAAAACAAACAGCTACATTATCCCATGCTACACATTTGGCTACTGGTTGTCACAGATGTGTATATGAAGTGTGATGACAACAAGGGGGTTATGTCAATTAAATCTTCTGTTCAGACAAAGGCAAGGTGCCATGCTCGTCCTGATCACAGGGAGTCTCAAATCTAAGGACCACTGACGTGGCTTTGCATGGCAGGCAATTATAATTTAAAAATGCAGCGCTCTTAACTGCTCTGGCTACTGACAGAGCTTTGATAACTTCTTGCAAATTCAAGATCAGGTTTCCATTGCAGTCTGGCTGCTGAATTATTTGTAGCAAATAATTTTTCATATAAAAATGCAGCCCACACATGAACACAAATAGTGAGGAAAATTTAACATCAAGCATGAGTGGCAATTCTCAGACACAAGGAAACTCTACAACAACATCCCTCCAAAGAAGCCAGAAGGCACAAGCCTTTGAGAGACTGTGTTCTGCACTGCTAATAAGCAGGTGACTATACAGCTCATGTGAACAGACACCAGTGTTTGCTCCCTCACACTGAGAGATGCTGTAGGATCCTCAGCTCAGAACAACTGCACTTGGAATACCACGCTGGAGAACAATACCCTGAGAGTTTAAAAGCCACAAACAAGAAGCTTCAGTAGAAGTGCCAGTATTTTCCACATCCATGCCTTCCTTTGGACAACAAAATGCAACCAAAGCAGCTCCAAACTACTAGGAACTAAATCAAGTTAACTCCCAGCTTGCTAGCTAGTTAAGATGTCAAAGCTGAAGAGGGGAAAAAAACCCCCACACATCTGAAAAGCTCTTTCTGTTTACACCTACTGCTTACCATGATCTACTGTGGAAAAACTTAATTTGTGCAGTGACTGTCAAGAGTTTACCCTTTTTCTGCTCATTCAGATGTGATCAAAAGAGAGCCTGAAGAGATTAGGATCATGTAAAACTCAATACCTGAAGTTTCTAAAAATCACAAGTGAAATCTGGAGAGATAAAGGGGATGGAAAAAGAATCAGGCCTACTGCTGACATTTCCAATTCACCTACTTCCAAAGGAGTTTTTTGATTATACAGATTAGAAAAATGGTTTAGCACTAATCAAAAATCAGATACATCAACCCTTCCAGTACATGAGAGCTCCAGCCACTGAGAGCTTGCAGTTGAAAAGAATATAAATAAATAAATAAATAAATAAATAAATAAATAAATAAATAAATCAGCACTGCCTTCTACCACAGTGCTTGCACACCTGGTCTGCAACTCCAGGCAGGCCAGTAGATATTAAGCTGTTCCTCCCCATTCTTCCCCAAGCTGCCAAATTCCCTGTTTACTGTTAGGAACCCTACTAGACAAGCCCAGCTACAGCTCTGTCTGGTTATTAGTACCATCACACAGTCAGAACTTACATCCAGCCCTGCTGCTGGTGTGGTGCTTTGAAGCAAGGGCTTAGGCACTGGTATTTTGCCGCTTGTTGAGCCATTTCCAGCAGCTGGAGGCAATGCATTCACTGTGTGACTGTGAAGCTGCGTGGTCCCTCCAGTGACAGCAATGACGGGCTGGGAGGCAGGAAGCACCCCAGAAGCCTGGAGCTGTACCACAGCAGGCTGGGAGAGCACCACTGACTGACCTAGAAAACAAGAACAAACAGGAGTGCTCAGCATATGAAATGAAATGGATTTGTACATGACCAGTGCACAGGTGAATACTGATAGAGGAGGCAGAAAGCCTTGCTTCCTCTCCTGTCCCACATGATTTTTCTCAAAGTCCAATTGTTTAGCATTAGTATATTCCACAGGATAGGAATGAAAAAAACCCAAACAAACAAAACCAAAACAAACAAACTCAAGCTCAAAAGTTTGCAGGGCTCTTAATCCATCCTGCAAACCAAAGCTACACATATTAAAGGGATCCACTAAATCAAGCTCTCCCAAAACACAATGGCTCTTCAAAGTTAATCAAAGTCAGCACTTGTTAGAAGCATAGCTCATTTCAGTATTGCTAACACTTGATGCACTTTGAGCAGTTTTTTCAAAGAACTTACCTCAAGCCTTTTCCTCCCTTTTGTCCACCCCTACTTTATTGCTGTATACAATGAAAAACTTACTATACAGAAGTGACTCATATTATACAAACCAATTCAGAAACAGCATAGAGAAAGATGATAAAGAAGAAAGAACAATGCAAGTTACACTTTCAAAACATAAGTTAAAGCCTCAATTCACACTAAGACAAACACAATTTTTTTTGAGATGTTTTAAGTAAGAAATTTTATGCACAAGCTGAACAGAGCTTAAAGAAAAGCGAGCAGAAAAAATGAGGTAATTTTGACAGTTTGAAATGGAATTAGAAACAGTCACTTCCAAGAAATTTCAGTCCAACAATTGCATTTAACTCAAGCAGGTGTTTGAGTAATATTTTGTTGTCTGAAAACACATGAATGTCTCTTTAATCCTTTGTAACAGGATGACCTCGCCAGCTTTCAGAAACAGCACATTCCAACTGAGCATTCCAACCAAAATGCACAACGATGTACTAAAGCATTTACCCAGCCTTCTGGAAGATGAAGTCATTTACCTAGCACCAAGATCTTTTATGTATGAGGTGTAGGATTAGATCTCCTTTTTTGCAGTGATAATCTTGAAAACCATCATAAGTTAGTACTACCCTATTTAAGAACCTCAAATGGTGAATTTGTGATTATTTCAACAATTTTTTTAACACATAAAGTATGTGATACTCTAAGATCATGCTTCCTCCTTTAAGCTTTTATGAAAGGGACTGTAAAAACATCATTCCTCATGTTCTTTTGAAGATAATAGCATATTTCAAACTGGTAGTTCCAACTTGTCATGTGCAGGGGATTTCAATTAACAAAGATCCTTATGGTTTTTATTATGGAAGCAGCACTATAGAATTTTTAAACATACCATCAGTTAAAGTAAATACATGGCATGGAAATACTTTCCCAAAAGTATTTCCTCTGTAAGTGCCTCACAAAAACTATTCTCCTGACCTTTCTTCAGGGAAAAGGAGAAACTGATCTTCACAGTACTAAACTTACATCCAAAAAAATCCATATCCTCAACATTCCTTATTCCAGATGGTATTTTATCAGCTGGAGCATCAGAAAGAATAAGAATTAGGTCACGTTGACTGTGCTGACCTGTCTTTTAAGCAGTCCAACAATCTTAGGCATGTTGTAACAAATATCAGCACCCCCAGCCTTGGCTTAACTCCTAATAGAAGAGCATTTAGTAATTACAACAATTTTTTCACTATTGCAATAAATTCTAGATACATGCCCTTAAGTACTGGTCTCCTTTTTCCTTCCACGTCTCTGTCTGCACAGTCAACAGCAAGAGACTGCAGCCATCAGCTGGTGAAAACGAGCAACTGCATCTGACAGTTTGAGCAGCCCAAGTAACATCCCTACTGCCTTAGCTGAAGAGTAAAATAATGCTCGGGATTCAGAAATGAAGGCTCAAGCTACCTCAAAAATCTGTTACAGGGAAACAGGAGGAATGAAGAATTATCAGTGGACAAGATATCACTTGCCTCTTGTTAACATCAGCTTGCAGCTCTAGGGAATTATTCTACCCTCTGACATGGCTCTCAAACCTTCGTAGATTTCACAACATCCTATTTCATGCTGTTTAGTGCGATAAAAAGCCATAAACTCATGTTCCCACCATGCTGTGGCAGAGTTTCACATGGGTAAAAAAAAGCTTTTATCACTCCTCCCAAGCTTTCAAGCTTCATTCAAGACATTCTAAGTGATTCTCCTGGATGTTCCTTTGGTTACAAAAGAATAGCACTGACATCACCTTATGTGCCGCTTGCCATCACCAGGAGAGCAAAGGGTCCCTAGAGATCCTTCCAAATCAGGAAGGATCACAACGGCCAGTGCTCAGCATAGTCTCTTTTGCTATGCTGTCTTCCATTGCACACAATGCTCAGGTGAGTGCTGTTTCTCATAGGAGAGGAATGAGGCCATCTTCTCAGCCCAAAGCTTTTCCAGCAAAGTGTATAGGACCCTCCTTTTTTTTTTCCCACCCGTCCCATTTCACCTGCCCGAGCTAACTTCATTCTAGCGATGGTCCCAAACAGACATCGTGTTTACCCCCAAGACCTGGCTCAGTCAAGACAATTCACCTACCTTTTGGGGGTGCTGGCTGGATGTTAACAACTGGCTGATGCTTTGGCAGTGGCACAAGCGTGGGAAGAGCCTGAATAATGATGGTTTTAGCTGGGATGCCAATATTAGCCTGAGCCTCAGGTACAGCAGGCAAAAGGGGCTTGGGTTGTATTGAAGGTCTGGATGCTGTCTGACCACACCTCTTCAGAGTCTTTGCAGAATTATTTGCTAGGAAAGGAAAAAGAGTCAGAGATACAAAGAATTCAAGCAGTAATAACATAGCTTTTGGTGCAGTTGTTTGGGTTTTTTTTAACCTGTCTATAATACTTGTTAAAAACAGACACATCTGCTCACAAATTCAAGTCAGATGTGACAGGATATGCTAGTGTCTGTTAGTTAAAACATCCGTATGAAAGACAAGATGCATATTATCTGTGGAATCAAAGTAACTCAGTCTTTCATACCAGACCGAGAAGTGATGCTGACAGCCGGCTTCTTCTCTCCATCTCCTTCGGGGGACGCAGGGCTTCTGCAGCTCTTGCTGTATAGAGAGATGGGAGACATCTGGGAGCTACAGCTGAAGTCCACATCATCCTGCAGACAGAAAGTGCAGGTGATTAATCCTTCAGAAACACATAAAAGTCCCTACTAGCAGTTCAGAGCAAAACAGCCCTTCATCACATCTGTGCTGCTGCTTCAGCAAACAGGAGAAAAACAGGTTTTGTGCTGTGGTTTTCTTCTGGTCAATGTTAAGTACCACTGAAAACCAAAGAAGTACCTCTCCTTATCAGCAGAGTGAAGTGGGGCAGAGGCCAGCAACTGCTAGACTTTACAAGGCATTTTCTTTGGCAACCAGGCCAATACACACAACTGGGGAAACAACCAAATATGCCCTTTTTAGAACAGGTCACAGCAGGAGAGGAAGGAAATCATCACTGAAGGGAAGATGGTTTTGCTAGGGTTGGAAAAATAAGCTGTTTCCCCTTATGCCATGAAGTTGGTCACATAAGTTAAATCACTGGGCTTTCTGTTTGTCACAGTGGGTGGTGAATGACTGCTGCTGTCTGTGTTACATAGAGGTTTCTGCATACAGGCACATTCTGCACTGGAGAGTCCACCGATGATGGAGAAGGGACGGAACAGCTTGAAGTGCCTGGTGATAAGGGTTCTGTCTTCACGCTTGCATCTGCAAGAGGCAGATAAAGAAATTTCACTGTACATGTGTTTAACAATGGGAGGTCGGTAAAGAAAGTGCTGTCCTACACCTATTTTATTCCTGAAGCAAGACACAGCAGAAAACATAGCGAGATTAAAGATACTAAACAGCTTAGCTTGTAGGGCAGTCCTGTACACAGTATGACATCTCATCACAGAGCTAAAAGCTGCAGGACATCAAATAGTTTCACATAAGTTACCAACATCCTAAAGTTGTAACAGCTTACCCTCGTGGGGTGGGGGGGAGCAGTCACACCTACAAAATACAAAAGGTAAATTACCTGCATAAGCATGGCCTGTAATATTCCAAAGATCCGAGTCCCAAGACATCAAATCCAAATCAAAATGAAAGTTATAGAGATCATTTTCCTGAAATGAAAGTTAAGAGAAAGAAATAATACAAAAAGACAATATACACTGAAACCACCAGCCATTATGTTCATATTCTTACAGCTCTGAAAACCAAAACAAAATTAGCACTTCATTTGCCTGAAGGCATGCAGAGATAAAAGCTCTTAAGGGGACAATTCTCAACTGAAATACACAAGGCTTAATTTAAAGTTTAGAGCTGTAGGAAAGGAGCATATCAGTTTAAGACCATCACTAATTACCGTACTGTTATCAGTAATTTATAAAGTGAAAGTTCTAAGTCCAGTCACTGTGAAAGTTCTAAGTCCAGTCACTCAACCATCTTATATAAAATACAAGTTTTAGCAGCTTGTTGGCATCCTCCCCTTCATCTCAATTGAAAGATTTACTTAATGTCCTTCCATTATCGGATCTGAAAGCACTTTATAAACAAAAGCAGTACCAGTGTTAGTTTGCCAGTAGGAAGAGAGACACAAGGACTGATTTACTTAAGATCTGATGAACTGTATGTATTAGGCTTCCCTATACTTGAATAAATCAATACCGTCATCTTCTAAAGCCAGGGGCACCAGTTTCCTTTTCCAACAACAACAACAAAGACTAAAATAACTTCATATATATTACTTATTGTATGACCTTTTAAACAGTGATCAGGTTTCTGTGCCATTTTTTCTGCTGATACAACTGAAAGTCTCAGTTCCCTACTCAAATGTAACATTTTTATGAACACTTGCATGAAAAATATAAATATTACACACCCAACTTATACAAATAAACCGCAAAGATTTTCCTGATAAAAAATATCTTGCACATGTACCTCTCCTTACGTTCTCAACTTGCCTCGTAAAGGGAGGCTGAGAAAGTCAGCTGACTGCACAGAAATTAGTATTTGCAGGCTAGGATGCAGAAAAAGCTCACCAGAACATATTTACAGGAAAAATGACCAAAACACACAGCCTGAGATGTGCAGCAGGAGTCTCCACACAGGTAACTAACGCTGACCTGTGATGGGGGATCCCCTGCTCTTGTACAGTTCAGCAGTTCCCAAATTTTCTCCAGTGCCTGGCTCTACAACACCTGTAGGAACACTCTCAGTACCTGAGGCTTACGTTGGATAACCCAGGGGCAGTAGGAACACTCTCAGTACCTGAGGCTTACGTTGGATAACCCAGGGGCAGTAGGAATGCTCTCAGTACCTGAGGCTTGCGTTGGATAACCCAGGGGCAGTAGGAACACTCTCAGTATCTGAGGCTTATGTTGGATAACCCAGGGGCAGTAGGAATGCTCTCAGTACCTGAGGCTTACGTTGGATAACTCAGGGGCAGTAGGAATGCTCTCAGTACCTGGGGCTTATGTTGGATAACCCAGGGGCAGTAGGAACACTCTCAGTACCTGAGGCTTATGTTGGATAACCCAGGGGCAGTAGGAACACTCTCAGTATCTGAGGCTTATGTTGGATAACTCAGGGGCAGTAGGAATGCTCTCAGTACCTGAGGCTTATGTTGGATAACCCAGGGGCAGTAGGAACACTCTCAGTATCTGAGGCTTACGTTGGATAACCCAGGGGCAGTAGGAACACTCTCAGTATCTGAGGCTTATGTTGGATAACTCAGGGGCAGTAGGAACACTCTCAGTACCTGGGGCTTATGTTGGATAACCCAGGGGCAGTGCTGGAGCAGGGTTAGGACACAGTGAGCAGAGAGAGGCAGGGGAAGAGCAGAGGGTGGAGAATCCATGAGGCAAATGCTCTGGGACAGAAAAAAGCAGTATATACAATCGGACAGTGAGACACATGGGGATTAATGCACAAGGTTGCAAACAAAGAGCTTGGGAGAAAATACAAAGACAGGCAAGAAAACAAGAAGGCATCTTCTAGGCAAGGTGACAAAGCACAGTAGTGCTGGGCAGAGACATAAGGTACCCAGGCCTCTCTCCTGGAAG